CTTTCACGCCAAAAACGCGCCCCTAGGGTTTGTTGCTACGGAGCCGGGGCGTCACTAAAAGTTGTCACTTGGCAACTTTTAATGATATTATGGCATGTATCTTCAGTTTGTGTTCCAGTATTTTTTCCCATTTAGCGCCGTATTCTGGATTAAGCAGCTTATTTATCAAGGCCATTTTAAGACCGTCTGCCTGTACTGATGGATCGCGCACCCTCAGTCCTCCGATGAAAAGACAGTCTTTCATCACCGACCGTTTAATCCTATCTCGAGATCGGCTCCAAGTGAACTGGTATGCTATTGTTTCTCTCTTCTTCAAGGAAGTGCGACTTGGCTTTTCTAAGACAGCCATAATATATATAAGCTGCGAGAGAGCCTCTAGCTTTATCGCATGTGCCTTCCCGTATACAGTTAACCCACGCCCGAAACATGGATTAACACGCGCTCGGGCGGACTCAAATTCTCCCCCCCCCCCCCTCTCGAAGGTTTTTCCGGAATGGTTTCCGAACGGCGTCGCAGAGTTGCGCCAAATTTTGCATACCTGTAGACAATTGAATAGCGGATCGTCTGGCATGACACATTTATACGTACTTCGTAACGTCGCTGACCTGTGACGGGTCAAAATCAGGCCATGGTTTCAGCGAAGGCCATTTCTAGAGAATCGTTTAATCTGATCCAACAACGGAGTGTTAGACGGAGCCATACATCTCTGAGTCACTTTCTTAGGCAACACGATAATTGAATGAGCAAATTACATTGACCTAGGGTCAGGTATGTTGGTCAGACCAAGATCAAAACTGACTTGTTTTATTTCTCTAGGGCGGTTTGTATGAGGCGGTTTCCGGTGTCCATTTCGAATTTACTGATAACAGAAACCACATTATGCACCTTCCATGGACTTCTTAAAGGCCACAATAGGCCACTGACCTAAAGTGACCCACGTCAACATTTTGCTTTTAGGAACATACTGCCTAGCGTAATCTTAGTCGCTTATTCAAATGCGAAACTCAAAGCAGTCTTGTATGATTTTGGTCACCATGACCCTCAAAACTTCAAACAAGTTTATTAACCTTGAATGAGCATGTGCATTTTTGCTTGTAACAGTGATCTAGGTCCTGGGGGTCCTTTAAAGACCAATCTGGAATTTGACCTTCTTTGACCTTATTTGACGCGAAGGTCATGACCTAGGAACCTCAAACTTTGACCAAAGTGAGCTCATGTACAGGTCAGTGCACCCTGTGAATTTGGTGTATAGCTCTTTTAGTTCCTGAGATCTCAGGGGGTCAAACTGACGCCCCACGAGCGAAGGGTATCCAACCGGCCACCCGGGCGTGTGCTAAGTTTGGCTTTTAACCTTCAAATTTTTCGGATAGTTGATATTTGCCAGGTCTACGCATGTCGGGGTGAGTTTTATTCCAAGGTAATCCAGTGGGTTAAGCTCCCACGATACTTCGATCTCTGGACAAATTTCACCTAGTCCGTTTCAGTGCTGACCCCTTGCCAGATGCCAGACCCCTTGCGTCTTTTGTCTGTTCAGGGATAGGCCCGATGTATCTCGATAAGTATCTAGACATTTCAAACATGCCCTAAAGGATTTATCGGAACTATCAATGATCATAGCTATATCATCGGTATAGGCTGTAGTCTACATTTCTGCGTCACCGATGGTAAGCCCGTTAATGTCGCTACAGCACCTGATTTTACGTACCAGTGGTTCAAGTGAAATCAGGAATAGCAAGCAGCTGAATGGACATCCTTGACGGAGGCCTTTGGCTATCACGGTCTAACAAGGCTCTAACATATGGCCGTTTATCTGCACGCGAGCGCGGCTTTGAGTGACTCCAGTTTGATCATACGTCAAGTTAATCCACTTTTTGCTATCACGTCCGAAACCTAGTGCCTTGACGTGACTTTTCAGATAACCCCAGCCGAATCATACGCCTTACACCAATTGCAGAACAATATCAGTCCAGGCGTATTGTCGATTTTTGCATAGCGAATTATATTGATAATTAGCCGCATATGTTCGCCTATACGCCTACACGGGAGAAAATCTGTCTGATCTCCGATTATTGTTCCATTCATTACTGTATTTGGTCTTTACGCCAAAGCTTTTGTTAATATTTTGTATGCAACGTACAGCACTCTGATGGACCGAAAACATTTAATTTGTCGTCAATCTTTGTTTTTTCGTGTTAAAACGGTTGTGCTGTTTTTAAGGATATTCGGAAAAGTTCCTACCCTAAACATTTTGATCATAGCAGAAGAAATGAGCCTTTTAAGTCATGCTAAACCATTTTGTAAAACCGTACGGCAAATCCATCTGGACCCGGACCTGTTGAGGTTTTCCTCGAGAGAAGCGCTGCTTCTAATTCATCTAGAGTCAGCTGACCCTCGCAGAGCGATGCTCTAAGGTTGTCCAGGTGTGCTATGCCGTCTAAGAATTGTGCACGTGCATTTAGGTTCTGGTCGGGAGCATATGGCGCTTCGAAGTAAGTACGACTCTCCTTTAACATTCTTCTTAACATCATCTGATACATTTCCTTCCTCGGTAAGCTCCAGTTTTAATGTCTTAAATGTTTGCCGTGCATTGTTCCTTTTGTTAAGGGCACGTGAGTATTTAGTGCCCTTTTCCGCGAATTGTCTCAAGTTGGTTCTGCAGCGGAACATGTTACTTTTAGTCAGTGTGGCAATTAAACTGTCACGTTTCTGCATTAGCTTAGTAACTATTTCAATCGTTAAGTCGTTGTTCACTGCGCTGTTTACTCGAGCCTCTATTTATTTGTGTCTTTGTTCGGCTTCCTTGTTATGACTAGCGTATTGTATCCAGCCCCTCAGAAGACATAGGAAAGTTGCGAGTAGTGTGGTCATTGGCATTTCTTCGTTTTCACTGTCACTTATTGTCTGCAATTTGTGACTTAGTTCGAGTCACAAACGTGTCGTCACCGAGCAGAGAATTGTTGAGTTTTCGTAATGATTTCCCGGCTGTCACGTGACTTACGCTGACCGTAAAACCACACATGCAGTGATCAGACAGATGCGCGTCTACTACTGATGGTAAAGGTGGAGGGTCTTCTTCCGTTAAAGATTTGCTTACCAATGGCGCCAGCTTGACAAGTGTTGTTTCTGGAGCGCCCAGACGTTCGCTATTATGAATATAATAGCTTGAAAGTGAGAGCGTAGGTGTACCTGTTTCATGATTATTTACGATATTTGCTACATTAAAGAAGACGATTTTTGCACAATGCTCTTTTGTAACATAAGATACATATGTCAAGTTACACCTCCACGTAATCTGAACTGACCAGACTGCCCCGCTGTGTAAAAACGCTTCATCACCTCAGATCATGTGAACCCTTAATCATTCAGGGCTCGTGGCCGTTCAGGCACGGTTGCCGGTCTTGACTAGAAAGCCAGCTCTCTTCGTGGGGAGAGCGTGACCTCCGAGCGCTGTCGTCGTTCGCGGGCGGCGGGTCAGTCTCGCGTTGTTTTTCTTCTAGCTGCAGGGTGGCAGCCATGCAGCCATCTCACAGTTGACGAGAAGTGTCGATGTTTCTCGATCTTGCCCAACTGTCAGCCTCTTCCTGCTACGACGCCTCCCACTTCGTAAGTCTAGGTGATTTCTTTCACAAAAGACACTTGTGGACTCGGGGTTGAACAGGATGGGTCATGCCAGGTTGTTAAGCCTTCGTCGTAAAGCTCTACCGTTGGCCAGAAATTCCGCGACTGAATGGCGGGGTCAGGGACCACACAGCAAGCACCGCTTAGCATGGGTGCTGATCCCAGAAATCCATTCAATCAAATGGTTCGGACTAAATCTGTAAGAGGAATAATATGTACACAAGTGTGCTTGTCATTGCTGACGCATGCGGTGATTAACGGATTTCATTTGTTTCCTTCTGGTACCGAGCACCCGACTAAGCGTAACGAAGCAGCTTGTGACGGCTACACGAGGTCCGATACTCCACATAGCTCAGGCTGCCTCGCTGTGTCCTCGGTCGTCGTCTGACACTCCCGCTGTGTCCTCGGTCATCGTCTGATGCTCCAGCTCAGGTTGCCTTGCCGTGTCCTCGGTCATGGTCTGATACTCCAGCTCAGGCTGCCTCGCTGTGTCCTCGGTCACGTCCGGGGATGTTGCCGAGGTCAAGATTATTGTGAATTCGTGTAGTTGCCATGACCTTTTTTGGATACCATTGCCCAAGAACAGGTAACCAGGAGTATCCCTTGCTCTATCCCAGCAATGCAATAAACCGTACGTTAACACCAGAAAACATAAAATCAAGTCGCGACACTGCCAGTTAGGAAGAGGAAACAAGCATAAATAAGCAGGCGAAGAGGTGGTGCAGACCCGAAGGAATTGTGTTCTGCAGAAGACAAGGACAAATCATACATGATAAGGCTTAAATTAGTTATTAGTCAGCTTATTAGTCAGCTGATGACGGCCCGTTGTAACCGCCTAATAAGCTACAACCACTCATTCACAGTGTAAGATTTGTACAGTCACACAAATCGGAGGGGTGATTACTTGATCATTTTCGTGCTGGGTTTTGAGATGGATGTTCAGGGAGGCCACCCAGCTGAGCGGAGCTTGTTGCTGAAAGAACTCCCGGAGCCAGCGCCGTGAATTGGGGTACATGTGCGTGACTATGACTATATCAGAACGTGACTACCTTTACCTTCACCACTTCCCCCGACGCGACGTGTACGGGCACTGTTTCGGGTGGAGGAGGGAGCTACTCACTCCACTTCGAATGTGCGTTCTCTGCCGCGTAGATGGCGCTCCGGTCGCAAAGCAGAACAACCATTCTCAGGACATCGTGGCTGTCAACCATGCTGCTCTCAAGAAGGCCTTGACCCCCTTACTCTGCCCCAAAATCCAAGTACGTCGCCTTATATTATCTCATCACCAGAAGGTAATCAACCGCAGGGAGTCTCCAATGCGTCTGTGCCTTAGGTGTGCTTAAGATGTTGATGAACCATCACCATTCGCAAAGTCACACGGATTGTTACTGGAACGATCGTTTTATTACAAGTGTTTTGTCATGTTTTGGGGTCTCATTGCGCGGGCGATTTCAGCCACGTCACAAAATGTTGTATCAGTTACACACGGTCATTCCAGTCATTTATTTTAAAATGTACAATGATGTGCGGCTCAATCCGCGGCAACACGTCTTCTGATCCCCCAATGCGCTCTGCTGAATGCCACGTCACAAAACACGAACGAAACGAACGCAGCCCACCTCTGCTGACAGGAGGGGGGGGGGGGGAGCGTTTGGCCAGGAGGCCCTTGGCCGTCTCTCCCACCAGGGCCGCGGCCTCCACCGCTCCGACGGCGTCCTTACGATGGGACAATGGCAAAATACAATGAGCTGGTACTGGGAATGGTGGACCGACCCCATTCGCGCAGCCCACGGACGCGCACCCACACTGCCTGCCGCTTGCGCCGGCGCCAGCATACACCGCCGGCACACGCGCATCGTGATAAAACACAGCGCCTTTGTAACAGCCTGGCTCGCCCCGCCAGGTTCGGCCGCCGGCAGCCCACACGACGGCCGGCGTCACCTGGGGCGACCGAGAATGTGACACGCCCCAGCCGGCCGCCGACGTCAGGGCCCGGGCCGGCGCCGAGGGCCCCCCAGACTCGAAGGACGACTACTGAGTCGAGGTCGACTCCGACTCCTCGGCGGTCGACTCGCCGGCGTCCGGTCGGCTCTCGGAGCTGGCATCGGCAGCCTGCCGAGGAGGCTGAAGTCAGGCGAGGGCGCGCCAGGCGAGGGCGCGCCAGGCGGGCGGTCGGCGGCGGAGCAACAGCACGACTCAGCACCTTTGGTCGATGCTAATGCCAATGCCCCCGGCTCGTGACTGGAGACAGCCGCGCCGCATATGAATACTGTACACTAGTCACGATCCGTAGCCCGTCTTTCATGCCGACCTTGCCACACACCCCCGGACCGGACATCACCACCGACCCCAACACCTCCCCCCCCCCCCGCCATCCCGTACCACCTCATCAATAGCGCTGGCCCCGCTCCACACCGGACGACGGCGGCCATCTCGCCGCGCACCCCGTCACCGGCGCGCCCTCTCCCCGGGCCGTACCTCGTCGTTAGTACTGGCGTCGTCGGCCGGCCGGGTCGGCTCGTCCTCCGAGCTGGCGGCCAGCTCCTCGGCCGTGCCCTGGCTGCCCTCGGTGGCGGTCCCCTCGGTGGCCGTGCCCTCCGTCTCGTCCAGCGTCTCGCCGGCCGCGTCCGAGGCCAGGTCCCGGTCGGCCGGCTCGGCCGGCTCCTGCGCCGCCTCGGCGTCGGCCTTATCCTCCTCGTCGTCGTCCGCCGGCTCCGGTTCCTTCTCCTGCTTCGGCTCCTGCTCCTGCTCCTGGTCCACCTCAGGCTCCGACTTCGGCTCCGGCTTAGACTCCGGCTCCGCCGCCGCGGCGGGCTCCGGCTCGGCGGCGGGGGTGGCCTTTTCAGCGGACGGCTCGGTCCTCTCTCCTGGGGAAAAGTGAGGGGCTGCAGTCACATCCGACGTTTGTCAGACACTCGCGTAGTGCTCCGGGCTGGCTGGTGCGGAACCAGGAGAACGTGACCACCCCACGGCACCTGGGATTGGCTATATTTGCGCGTGTGTTTTCACTACTTCACCAAGAAGTACAAAACCGGGATACCAGGATATTGTCGGGGTCTATATCACATCATGTCGCGCAAAAATCAAGAAAAGGCTGCATGAGGAGGTTCATCACAACACAGGTCCACCCACACCACCGCGGTCGCCACTCCAGGTCCGCGCACGCCTGCAGCTCTCACTAGCCACCGGCCGGCGGCCCCCGCACCTGCGTCGGCTGGCACGCTGGCGTCACCCCCGGCCGGCTCGGCAGCCTGATCTGTGGCGGCGTCTGCCTCCGGCTCGGCGGCGGCGTCGGCGGCGGCGGGGGGCCCGGCCGCGCCGTTGCCGTTGGTGTGTGGCGGCGCCGGCGGCCAGACCTCGTCCTCGGACTCGCTGCTGGCCTCGCCCGGCCGCTGGACTGCAGGCGACACACACACATACTCATACCCATACTCATTAGTCGGCGCCGGCGGCCAGACCTCGTCCTCGGACTCGCTGCTGGCCTCGCCCGGCCGCTGGACTGCAGGCGACACACACACATACTCATACACATACACATGGCGGCGCCGGCGGCCAGACCTCGTCCTCGGACTCGCTGCTGGCCTCGCCCGGCCGCTGGACTGCAGGCGACACACACACATACTCATACACATACTCATTAGTCGGCGCCGGCGGCCAGACCTCGTCCTCGGACTCGCTGCTGGCCTCGCCCGGCCGCTGGACTGCAGGCGACACACACACATACTCATACACATACTCATTAGTCGGCGCCGGCGGCCAGACCTCGTCCTCGGACTCGCTGCTGGCCTCGCCCGGCCGCTGGACTGCAGGCGACACACACACATCTCATACACATACTCATTAGTCGGCGCCGGCGGCCAGACCTCGTCCTCGGACTCGCTGCTGGCCTCGCCCGGCCGCTGGACTGCAGGCGACACACACACATACTCACATACATACTCATTAGGCGGCGCCGGCGGCCAGACCTCGTCCTCGGACTCGCTGCTGGCCTCGCCCGGCCGCTGGACTGCAGGCGATACACACACATACTCATACACATGCTCATTAGTCGATGCCAGGCGGACAGACGGGGGCGGAGCAGTGCCCGGCTACCTGAACACCCGAGAGGTCCACTGCAGTTGGACAATTTCGATGTTTTGGACATCCACTCAGAGTAAAAGTGCCTTACTCACACAAACAAATACGGGCTTAACACGTGCCCAGGTGGGGGGGGGGGGGGAAGAGCAATTCGCCCACCCAACCACCTCACGAAAGTTTTTCCAGGGTAACTTCCAAACAGCGCGGCGTAGCTGCGCCACGCTATGTGGAGCTGCATGCAATTGAATAGCTGATCTTTTGGTATGTCAAATTATGTGAGCCTTGTAACGCTGCTGACCTATAGCAGGTCAAACTCAGGCCATGGCTGTCAGAGAAAGCAATTCATGCAATCGTTCAATTTGATTCGACATCGGAATGCTAGACGGATTTACACCATACACACTTGATATGGTGTCTTAGGCAAATATGTATAATAGCATAAACATATGTGATATTAAAATAAGTTATGTGCTTTCAAAAGCTTTTGATCACAGACACGTCAACAGACATCCTACTCGGGCTCAATGAAGGCCCGAGGTCACTAACCTAAAATGACCCCGACGAAACTTTCTTGCCAGGAACACATCTCCTATTCGGCGCCAAATGGTCTCGACGCCGAAGCGACCCTAAACCCCAAACCACCACCGAACATACCTACCAGCGTAATCCTTGACGCTTGTTTTAATTCAAACATCAACAAAATATCGCAGGCTTTTGGTCGCAGCGACTTTCTGAAGGCTAAACAAGATCTGAAATGACAATCAGTGACATTATGCTTCGAAGAGAACATCTGGGGTTAAAAGTAGTTACATATAGAAGAGAACATCTGGGGATGAAAATAGTTACATGTGGAAGAGAGCATCTGGGTTAAAAGTAGTTACATGAGAAGGTTTAAAGGTACTTCAGACAACTTGACAGCAGCTTGACCTCATATTATTGAACTTATCTGACATAAGGTCATGACCTAGGGACCCTAAAATTTGGCCACAATTTGACAAAATTAATTCACACGCAGGCCGATGTAGCCTGTGAATTTGGTACATCTAGCTTTATTAGTTTTTGTTTGGGGGGGATCGTAGAGGGTCTAATTATCCCCCCCCCCGCCCTCCCCCCACCTCTCCCACCAGACCGCGTTGCATTCGACCGGCCACCTGGGCGCGTGTTGATGGCCCGGCCCACCATCAGAGGCCCGGCCATCACCGGTGCCCGGCCGGCACCGGTGATGCATTGTGAGCACTGCTGGCGAGGCGGCCGGCCCGCTGGCCGAGCCAATCACAACATCAACCATCAATAGAGCGGCACTCTGCCCGAGGCCACCGACACCGCAGCTAGCACAGGACAACCGGCGAGGTTTGACGCCCACACACGGGACGCAGAGTGGAGCGGCGGGGCCACGGGCGGAGCGCCGGGCCGCTCCCTCCGCGCGGACGGAGGCCACACTCACAGAGCGGGTCGCGCACCATCCTGATGACCTTCTCCTCAGGCATATCGGCGGTAATCTTGCGGAACTGGGCCAGCTGCTCGTCAAAGTACTCGCGGAACATCTTGCCAGGCGGGACGACGAACATTTTCTGTAAAAATAGGCGTGAGTGTGCAGTTCGCAGCACAGTAGCGACAGAGCGCACAGTGGTGCCCAGCACGCTGGCCCACACACGAAGTTGTAGCAGAAAACGGCCTAGGCTTGGATAAGGGAGAGCGCATAAATGCCATATATTTACTGCTTCTGAAAAAATTCCGACGCGAGGAGACATAAGTGAAGACAAATTGACGAGTAGTGGAAGTAGCTGAGCGGGAGGATGATGTTTAACACACGTGCATTTTGCCACGTGAAAAGGCAGTTACATATGACCCGATGACTCCCGTCGCTGTCGCTGGGGCCTTTACGACACACTCAGCTGCAGTGTCTTGATGGCGCTGCTTGCCTGTCACCCAGGCGGGAAAGGCGGGTACCACGAGGAATCGAACCCCACGCCCCTGGTATCTCAGACATGCAGCTCCGCCACTGTGTCTGCCACTGTATTGGTGCGCCGGCCTGACGGTTTTTGACGATTTTCGTCCGACTATCCGGTCTGACAATGACTGGTGCTGAGAAAAGCTGTGGCTGATGGGAGGCGCTTATGCCTCCCCCCCCCCCCCCCCCCAGCACGCAGTACGCTCGGCCTCAGTACGCTTGCCAGCGGTGCGCACCGGTGGCCCACTGTAAGCACCGCTGGCGAGGCGGCCGGCCTACTGGCCGAGCCAAGCACAACATCAGAGGCCCGGCCTCAGGCTCACTTTGAACTTCTGGTAGCACTTGTCGGCCAGCTCTCGGATCTCAGAACTGCCCGTGTACTTCCTGCACTTGCGCACCGTTTCCACGATCTCGGGGTTCTTTTTCAGCATCAGCGGCGCCATGTTCATCTGAAGCGCGGCAGGAGCAGAATGGTCAGGGAAGAACAATGGTGTACATCAGTACGGTGGGGAGAGGTGCTTTGTGTTAGCAGATCTTCCCTAGATTTGAAATTTAGCATTTCAACACAGATAGGACTTCCTAGAGGTTTATCAGTCTCAACTAATGAAGATCTTACACAAACAGGGTCGGCATACTCAGTCTCAGGCCAACACTATCCTCCGTAACATCACGCTTTACGCCTGCTTCTGCCGCACGTACCTGCGAGAGCTCCTCGAACACCTTGATGCACTTTTCGTGGTTCTGTTCGTCGATGATCAGGTTCAGTTTGATGTGGTAGTCGAGCTCGATCAGCCTGGCCTCGTCGCGCAGCCACCTGCGACGACCCACACAGCCCGGCGGCCCGTCAGTGCCGCGGCAGCCTCGACCAGCGCCGCGGGCCTCACACGAAACAGCGGCGCAGAGGCAAGGCTTCACCGGTCGGAGATGATGATGATGATGATTGGGGTTTTAGGGCGCGTCGACTTCTAGGGTCATTTCGCGCCCACTCACCGGTCGGAGAGGGATGCCCACGCGACCGACGTAGCGTTCATGGTATGTAACTGAATACCCGACCACCAATAATAAGCTCGTGAACTACCATTCAGCCAGAGCCACACCCATCACACACGCCAGTCCCTATTAAGACCCCATGTGCACAATGTTCTTATGGGTGACGGCAGGCACGACCAACGGCTCATTCGGAGGACACTTCATTTACACACTGAGTGTGCTGCATTGCTCTAATGAGAGAAAGCATATCATCTGGGCTCGATTAACCATTACAATCTAAACATGGTCATCAATCCGCAATACATTCACTGGAAAGCTAGCGTATCCGCCTCGGCAGCACAAGTACTTAAATTGGGACCATACAGAGAAGATTGGCATGGCCGCTAACGCACAATCGTGATGGGTCATTCAAAAAAGCTAGCTGCCATAGTGAGCCATTCAATGAAAAATATCGAAATTAACATGCCGACCTGGCGCCGTTCTGACACAGCAAATTCTGTGCAAAAAAAAATAATACCTACATGAAGTAAGTTCAGGTCTCACGATCTTTCACATCCTGAATCCAGAGCCACAAAGCCAGTTCGCCCTATCCTCCTCCCCCCCCCCCCCCTCCGCTCCGGTCAAGGACCGTCTTCGCACCAGAGCTTGCTCTTGCGCATCTCCTGCCGCTTCTCATTCTTGAGCTTCTCCTTGACCTCGGCGGCGACGTCGCCGCGCGCCAGCAGCTTCTCGCGCAGCCGCTCCGGCACGCACTCGCCCCGCTCCAGCTGGTGTCTCAGGCGCGCCAGGTTGATGGCCGTGGCCGTGTCCCACATGATGCGCGCCTTCTCCGACTGCCGGCACAGGCGGGGAGCTGTCGTCGACGCACGGCGCGCCAGTGCAGACATTGTGTGGCGCCAACGGCAGGGGGCGCGCCAAGCCGGTGATGTTTCCCTCGCCGGTGAGGGCGATGAGAGGGGGCGGGGTACCATGGGTGATTGCAGGAGGCTATTTTTTCATGAATTCGCAGAGCGTGGGATACGAACATGGCCCCGTGAGACACAAGTATGAGTGACACATCGGAAAACCGTTCACTTCGTCAGCCAAGGGAGTCGAACACCAAGGCACACTTCATCTGAATGACAACCGGGATTTAGGATCGCAGGTTTAGCTGGTCAAATAGAATATCACAGGGAATGGGAAATCTACCAGATACGACGGATTCTCCAACAGAACAACAATCGTTTGCTACTGAAAAATTGAACGAATATCGCGTATTCTGTAGCTCTGACATAGCGCGGCTTGTGCAATTGAAAACCTCAGAGATTGAATACCCAGCAAGAAGATTGTGCGATCAAACAGCCCTGAGACGCGCTATGCTAACCGTAAGTTCATCCAGTCCCTGACCCCAAAGTTGCTCCGAAGCATACGCCCACACATACACACCCATGCGCGCGTACGCGAGCACAAACATACACGCACGCACACGCAAACACACGGACACAAATCGCGCATATGTGGCGTCATCCGCCCAGCGAGCGCAGAAGGCTCGCCGTCTGTGCCAAGCACACCTACCTTGAACTCCTTGGGCCGTTCCCGGTCCGAAATGTCGATCTCGAGCATCTCGCCGCACTTGGCCTTGACGTACATGACCTTCCGACCGTCGTCCTGTTTCTCGACGGTGGCCGAGTCCACCACGCGGATGATGTCCTCGGTCTCGTGGCACGGGTACGGCTTGTAGCGCACGTCACGGCGCTCCGGCTCTGTCGGGCACACCCGGGTCACACGCCTGAACAGTGACGTCGCACCACTCGGGCTCCGGCTCCGACTCTGTCGGGTACACCCGGGTCACACGCCTTAACAGTGACGTCGCACCACTCGGGCTCCGGCTCCGGCTCTGTCGGGTACACCCGGGTCACGCGTCTGAACAGTGACGTCGCACCACTCGGGCTCCAGCTCCGGCTCCGGCTCCGGCTCCGGCTCCCGCCCCAGCTCCGTCGGGCACGCCCCGGTCACGCGTCTGAACAGCGATGTCGCACCACTCCGGCTCCGGCTCCGGCTCCGGCTCCGACTGCTCCGGTGCTCCAGTCCAACTACACGGTCCGAATACTAGGACAAGGGCGGAACACTGGACTCGACAACAGAGAGCAGGCACACGGGGGCCGAGCGCGGCGTGCGACAGGAGGCGGCCGGCGCCGTGGCTGAGCCGGCTCACCGGGCGGCTGATCGTCGCCCTGGCCGTCCATCGGCTGGCCAGCGGGGTCGGCCAACGGGTCCTCGGCGAGCCCGTCCCCGGCGCCGCCCTCCTCCTCCTCGGCTGTGTCCATGGGCAGCGGCTGTTCCGCCTCCTCGTCTTCGTCGTCCTCCTCGGTTTTGACGGCGGGGGCGAGCTCGTCCTCGTCCGGCTCGCCGCCGGCCGGCTGTCAGACGAGAGCAACACGGGTCGCCGTCAGGTCCCGGAGGTGACAATGCGCGGCGATGCCAGGGCAGAGCGGCAGGCGACCCCGTGAGGCAACCGCCGCGATGGATTGTAGCACCAGACAGTGTGGACGGGTGTGTGCCATATCAAACTGAACATCCTTACGGCGCACTTAACCGTCCTGCACGCACGCACGCACGCACGCACGCACGCACGCACGCATGCACGCACACACACATACACGCACACACACACACACACACGCACACACGCGCGTGCACGCACGCACGCACGCATGCACAGTGATATTTCGAAAGGCAACGAGTTGAGGATCCAGCTATCACGGGGACAGGCCAGTCCCCGATCGCTGATTAGGTACGCCAACTATACGAGCATCCTGAACTTGTCGCTATATTTTCCCAAGCGACGCCCGAAGTGACGCACCGCTCTCGCCCCGGAGCGGCCGCTTCTGCTGTCACACCACCTATTCCGACCGCGAAGCACAGTCCGCCTTCCCAACTGACCGCACCCACCTGGGCGGCCGGCGTCTGGCGGCGGCCCGCCGCCGGCGACGACTTCTTGCGCCCCTCGTCGTCGGCGAAGCGCTTCGGCTTGATCTTGCGGCCGCTGCGGCTGAGCTGGGGCTCGGCGGCGGCGGCCGCAGCGACCGGCGCCTCGCCGCTGTCCAATCGGCGCCGCTTACCGCCCGGCTCCAGCTGGCGGGCGGCACGACTAGCGTCAGCGGGCGGCGCGGCTAGCGCGAGCGGGGCGGCCTACAGGCGCAGCCCCGCCCGGCGAGCAGGCGGCGCCGACAGCGCTGGCAGACCGACGGCGAAAGGGTCTACACGCGGCCTGCACGCCTGCTGACAGCAGCGCGGAGCGAGAGCCGACGGGGTCAGAGAAAGAGAGAGAGAGCACGACGGGTCCGCCGCGTGACGACCTGACCGCCTAAGCCGCACGCAAGCGCGCATGCAGAGCAGCGAACGTACCGGCGTTGAGGCGTCCTCCTTGCGCTTGCGGCCGCGGCCACGCTGTTTGGGTGTGGAGCCGGGCGCAGCACCGGCCGACACTGTGCGGGGCGTGGTGGGCGCCGGCGGCGGGTATGGCCTCGCCTGTCGGACATTCCAGCTCCAATTAAACATGCACAAAACGCACACACGCCAGTCCAATATGGCACCTGCACGTTCAATCAGTGTTCAGCTTCGGAAGTCTGCATCGCGGCACAGAACGCGACGAATAGGCTCCGGACGGATGGCCCGTGTAACGAGTAAGGCACCCACCCATGTTAAAGACGTGGGCGGATGTGGTTTCACCAGGAGGATCCCGGCCCAATCGGCAGAGCCCCGGTAGCGCGCGCCCTGTACGCGCCACACGGAGCAACCGACCCGGCATCGCCGCCAGATCCCGCCCCGCACAGCTGGTACGCTTCACGGCAAAGGTTTGACGCCGATCGGCCAGGCCGCTTGGACAGCGGAGGCTCTGTAGCCGAACTAGTTTATCCAAGCAGGGAGTCTTCCCTTTACCCAGTTTTCCGACCACATTGGGGGAATGGACAGGTTTTTGGAGGCGAAGCACTTAGAAGCAATGCCTCACTGAATGTAAGGATGACCCCAATGCCCCCCCCCCCAAAAAAAAACTAGCCAATACCTCCATGTCCGGAGACTCCTCAATTTCTCTCATGGCATCAGCAAACCCCTTTCTCTTCAAATTTGCAGACCCATATTTTTCCTTGCTTTGGGCATTGTATCTAAACAGGTCTTCCACCTTGACTGTTGCACTGTGGAGGGACAAAGGTAAATATAAGTAAATATCTCAATATGTTACTCGTTTTTATCTGACAAGGCACCGAAGCATGCATACAACAGCCGGGACGACGAGTTTGAAAAGTAAATGGCAAATGTCACTTAAGTGACTAAGACATTATGCCTGCATCTTACATTTCCAATGGAGACCAAAGGTATCTATCAATATAAACTTCCTTCCAATTTGTGACCCTCTGAACTTCAGGCAACAATATCCATTATTCCAAACACCGTGATCTGTAGCACAGCTGGTAACCTTTCATCATTTTCATACAATAAATTTTAAGCCTTGTTGTGCTCACAAATTTACGTTTTGCATTCACAAATCTCCACACACGACCAGATAGTCAGGCCGCACTTGTACTTACACTTCATATGTCCCAAAGAAGAACACAGAATATTTCTTAGGCTTCTTCCCGTCATCAAGTGCGGCGGTAATCTGGATGAAAAAGGACATCACTCGTAATGCAGGTCACACCTGACTGCAATGCACAGGTAAATCACTATGTACGACCCCAACGTACCACAAAAAACCAGGCCGAACTTGATGTGTGATTGTCCTCCAATGCAAAGCTCGGTACCGAAATCGTGTTTGACAAACAAAGAACACAGAAGAATAAATAGACATAACATACCTTGGCGGGCCATGCTGGATATCCTCTTATCTTGGCAAATACCAACGCATCTGGTTCAAACACGTCCCCCTTCATTTTGTCGCTGTCTCTGAAAACAGTCACAAACCTTGTGACAAAAAACAGGCACATCTAAAAACCCCAACATCTACAATAAATGGTAAAAACTCCCCTTTAAATACCACCATCCTGGTGATTTTATCAAATGGTGTCTAGAGTAGATGGAAATGGAATGCAGCCTTGCCAATGAGAAATTGAGGCATTTCTCATGTGTTCTCAACAGCAGCACCTTTGAACCTCTACATCGGAAGATGCCTATTTAGCGGATGCACATACATTTGGAGGTGTGGAGAAACCTTTACAATGTAGTACTGGGCTGCCATGCAGTATGTCAACTTTCTGCCACACTCCAGTTTGCCATGTGGCACATGATTTTGCATTGTTTCTTAACGCCTGCAATTACTCCGTTTTGGTGTTGTAAACTGCACCAATTGCTTACGTGTGAAAAAGGATAATTAAATGTCCAAAGCATATTTTGTGGCCATGCAAACTTATTGCATCAGCATTTAAAGCAGCCAATGAATTAGACAAATCCAATGGGATTGTTTCCATCCGTTACCACCTCCGAAACAATTTTGGGCTTCATTTCATCACAGATAACATGAAAATCGGCATCCATCGGAGCCCGGTGCTCATCTGATATGCGGCGTCATCCCTGACGTGAGCCTCTCGCCATCACAAGACTGAGACCTGCCCGGCTGGTGCCGGTAGCTAAGCGCGCCGCATTCTCGAATCGTGTCGGCCGATCCCGAGCATACCCCCCCCCCCCTTCTCCCCCAGAGGGGATCAGGTACGCAGCAGAGCCGAGCCAGACCACACCGGACCATCAGGGGAAGACCGGCACACCTATCACGACCTACGCCGCCGCGCCGGCCGCCCTGTCCTCTCACCTCAGCTCACATCTCGTGAGCCTGCTTCACCAGTCACAGGTCATCCCAGCTAGAGGCAAGTAGCAAATGATGGAACAGCTCAAACCCACCCACCCTGCCACGGGTAGGCTGGGCGCCAGGCGCTCTAATACATTGAGCTATGGGAGTGGGAGCTATGGGGGTGTTTTATGGTCAAACAGGAGCCAGGCAACACTGATCAGCCAATCACGAGCAATTGCGGCGTGGGCTGCCAGACCGCCACATCCATGCTCAGTGAGGTCAGCTCTCAAGCAAAGCACATAGCTGCACCAGAATGTTCAAGAGCTCTGAAAGATTAAATGAACAGAACAACCAGAGGTGATGATGCCAAACTTCATGTTACAGCACGACTCTTAGTCCCCTTCAGTTGTTAGCATTTATCCCTCACATGAAGTGAACAGCAGGATGAATTCCCACTTCCCATGTCACCATTAAACACAGCCATGATCATGCCAGTCCATGAGATCCAATCCAACACTGTTGGACCTATCAGACCTCTCAGCAGTGCGACAAAGCCCCATGAGAAAGATGTGGGTCATTGTATGCTCCACCATGTACCTATTTGTACAAAAGTCTTGTGTTGAATGATGCCCAGTATGCATATGGATCATGTCATACCATTGGAACACCAACTTGCCCCTTTTGCCCATTATGTGATGAAATTTGATATGATGTAATTGTAGATCCCATATAAATATGAGACCCCATATAAACCGGCCACAATAATTGATATAAAACCTAACGCATCTAATAAAAACATGCAAACAAACATTCAATAAAATATAATGCAATGCAATCGGCTTTTACACCTGTGTCTATGAACCAATTGTTTTCCATGAAGGGTCATGATTTGTGTTGTATTAAATCTGTTTAACTAATGCATACAAATATAAGAATAAGCATTCTCATGACTGTGCAATACCCCACATGGCTTACACAAACAATAAACTTCCATGCAGCAGTGTGTTCAAGAGCCATTACCTTCAACCTAGTCTAAAAAATATTGTGTAGAACCACCTACCTCATGAGAAAATTGATCCCAACCAATGCCTACATGGCAAAAAGAGCAAAATGCACTGAATTGGGGAGACAATTTTGCTTTTCCAACTAGCTTTAAAGCACCATTTTTCTTGAAATTGCATTTGCAACTCCATAACTCATGAAACATTACTTCTGTTTGAGCTCAGCATGGCTGTGAATGTACAACTTGAGGCACTCAGATTTATGGTGTACATTCTCTGAAATTATTGCTGCAATGCCAATACTAAGCCAGACATTTTTTGCACAATCTGGTCCTCAAACAATAAGATGTGTCCTATTGAAATGAGTAATTTGAAATGGATACCCTGATAGTTTTGTGTTCTGAAGCATCATAAACTTTTTGCATTCAAGAGTCCAAAGTGAAGATGCTCACCTAATTTTACAACTAATTGTGAGCATATATATATATATATATATATATATATATATATATATATATATATATATATATATATATATATATATATATCACAGCAATGATGGAGAACATGCATATCTTATTCAATGTTACACCTTTTAAATAAGTCATGTCTCTGTAAAACCAAACAAATAGGTTACGCATAATGCATGCGTCTTAACTTGCCAGTAGAACACAGGTGTGTCAAGAGCAGCCACTGTTTGGGTGTTGTTCAGTTGAGAGGATGACAGGACTTGTTGATATGTCTACAGAAATGGCTTGAAAGATGAATAGCTGAAGGTTTATCTGCATCCTCACCCTTATAACAAAAGGAAATATTTTGTTTTCATAGGTTTGAAGAGGTTAGTGATTGCTGAAAACCAGACATAGTTCTTACCTTTTAATACAACAAAAATAACATTTCCCATGCTGTCAAACCCAACTACTTTATTTATGACACATGCTAGCTTCAGAGTAGGAGGTAGGAATAGGAAAAAGGGTAGGTGCATTTGTCAGTGTAGGTTTAAGGGCTAAGGTTATGTGGCATTGTCAATGCAGGCCCCACAAGTGCCAGCAAAGTCTCAATCTGCAGAATCTAGTATAAAACCCAGACAAGATGGGATTGGGCATATCACATGTTTACACAACATGCACACAATATTTGTGTACACCTCTACAACCTTCAGAATTTAGGCACAAAGAAATGAAACTAAAACCATTTCATCTCACAACTGTCAACCAGTTTGCTGAATCTGTGATGCTACCAGCAGTATGTGAGTTCTACACTGGCAAAACTGGTTAGATTAGGTATGGCCATGTTGTGTGGAGTGGCATTGAGTGGCAAGTTATATTAAGTAATGTTAAGTTACATTAGATTTCATTCCACCACTCACATCACCTATCACATTGGTTTAAATCATCCCCATTCTTGGTTCTATAAGTACAGTAACCTCTGCTTTGCAGCAGCTAACATTGAGATAATGATATTGTATGGCTGCATACTCATTGAGTTTATAAACATTTGCAATGCATTATGCTCGATATTCGCCAAACAGGGTTGACTCTTTAAAATGATCCCACAAACGCAGCAATAAACTAGGAAACCTAGCCTGTAAGCACACCAACGCTTCCATCAATACGTTTCGGAGCCGGAGCGCACGGATATGCATACATCAGCAAACACCTCGCTACCAACCTTAGCACGGGCACCTAATATCCAAAATGCGCGGAACCCACTCGGACTCCTGCGGGTATGTACCTAATAATCAACTCACGCACACCGCTCTGAAGTCCACAATTTACGCAAATAGCACCCTCCCACCCACGATAGATACCGCGTCGTGCGCGCCAATAATCTAATGGCGCATGCACGCCGCAAAACCGTCTTTTACGCCGGAATCACTTGCCACTAAAGTACTGCTTAAAAAGGGGACGCCGAGATGACGATCTAGGTGTTTCATTTTGCACAGCTATTTACGATTCGTTAAAAAAGAAGTAGTTAAACAAAATGTTGAATCGATACGTAAGTCAACCATGCTAATTTCATCACCAGCACATATTTCCAAACGTTGCTACGCATTTAAATTATGCAAATTGTAGTATATTGTTTCTTTCTCAGCATGTGTGGTCCCTGATCCTCAGCCTCGAAGATGCTTACAAGTTCTTCAAGGAAATAATCGCCATGGCTTCTGAGGTTTGCTCCGTCAGGAGGAGGACTAGACCTAAGAAGAACTTGTGCATGAGCCCAAGGGTCATGCAACTAAAAAAGGCTAAGGAAAGACTATGGCGAACGCACACGCGGACTCAAGATGTTCTGGACCATGCCAGGTTTGTGCGTTGTCGCAATGACCCTCGGAAGTTGATGCATACGGTGGTCACGTCTCGGTTGGACCACCACACACACAACGGCGAACTACCGCACGCAAAGCCGACAGGGAGACTCCCCACCCACGCGCCCGAGCAGCACCTCTTATACTGCTTCCAAGGCTTACACCCGCAACACGATCTGCTTGCGACTGACCGGCGCCACCGTAACGCACCGCCCCGAGCCGTGATTGTTCTCCTCACTCAGATATGAGTCATTGCCCCACTCGCCTTACATGCTGACACACTGACCCGGGGCATGGTCCACCTCTACAGTTGACCAGAAACTTTCGGGGCGGGTATGAGATGAAATTAGTAGCAGACCTCAAAAGAAACCACAAGGCCTTTCGGAGGTACGCCAACTCGAGACTACGCGCAAGATGTAGGGTAGAAGACCTTCTTGACGATGATAGAGTGTTGACCAGCAGAAACGAAGGGAATGCCAATGTCCTCTGTAAATTATTTGCCAATGTTTTCACGGACGAAGTGACTAGTGCCTGTGTTACCGTGCAACTTCACTGGACCATTTCTGGATGACGTGGCCATCTCTGTCCAGGCAGTGGCAAACAAACTGACCGCTCTGAAGGCCTCGAGCGCCCCTGGGCTAGACGATGTCCATCCAAGGCTTCTTCGCGAGTCCGCAGATGTCCTGGCAGCACCCCTCAGCATGCTTTTCCGAAAATATTTGGCATCCGGAAGGTTTCCCCTGGAATGGAAGCTTGGCGAGGTAGTCCCGATCTTAGAAAAGGGTAATCGACAATCTCCAGCGAGCTACCGCCCAGTGAGCCTTATTGTCATTCCCTCCAAGATGCTCAAAACCTTCGTCCGTGATGCCCTACTTAATCACTTCTTGGAGTCTGGACTTCTTCATGCAGCCCAGCATGGGTTTCTCCCTAAGCGGTTCTGTACCACCCAGCTGTCAGAGGTCATGGAGGATTGGAGCGCCGCAGTAGAGGATGGAGAGTAGGTGGACGTGGCGTACCTGGACTTCAGCAAAGCCTATGATTCCGTGCCTCATAACCGTCTGCTCTCCAGGCTTCATGCTTACGGTGTGAGAGGTAATTTGCTACGCGGGATCAGGGTTTTTCTTACTCACCGGATGCAGAGAGTGCGGGACCAGGGCTCAAAGTCGGACTGGACCTACGTCGTCAGCGGCATCCTGCAAGGGTCAGTACTTGGGCCAACGCTGTTCATAATTTTCGTGGACGATCTGACAGAACAAGTGCGAAGCGTGGTCAAGATGTTTGCGGATGATACCAAGATCTACTGTCGTGTCCCGAGGCCCCTGACTAACTCACCTGTGCAGGCTGACCTCGACGCCCTGGCCAAGCGGTCAAAGGAGTGGCTGCTCCCTTTTAGTGCAGCAAAGTGCAAAATGATGCACATCGGGAACTGCAGCCCGAGGCTGACGTACTTCTTGCACGGTGCCGAAATCGCGGTCGAGTCCACCGAGAAGGACCTCGGGATCTTCGTGAATTACCGGCCCCAGTTCCACGTGCAGACGGTGGAAGCGATCTCCAAGGTCAACCAGATGCTGGCGGTTGTGAGGCGGTTTTTTTTTGTCAATATCGACGCTCGCACATTGGCATTGCTTTTTAAGATCTTGGTACGTCCGCACTTAGAGTATGGCAGCGTCGTCTGGGCCCGTTCGGCAAACTGGACCAGAAGCGGTTGGAACGGGTTCAGAGACGAGCTACCCGGCTCGTCTATGAAGTGAGGCGCCAGCCATTCCCTGAGAGATTCGGACTCTTCCAGTTGCCCTCGCTGTGCTATCGTCGTCGTGGGGGAGACATGGTAACAGTGTACCAGCTGTTTCCCGGAGGTATGTCGCTGTCGGAAGAGGAGTTCCTGACAAGGCACAACTCGGAGGTGACGAGAGGACACCAATGGAAGCTCAGAAAACCTCGAGTTAGGACTCTCGTCCATCGTAACTCATTCAGCACGCGGGTTGTCAACGACTGGAATGCTCTTCCACACCCGGTCGTGTCGTCGACCTCAGCTGGAGAGTTCAAGTCTAGGCTTGATATGCACTGGGCTTACATCATGTACGACGTCCCACACTGGATTTTCCCATAATTTGAGACTGCCTGGTTACCGGACCGGGAGCCTGACGAGACCGGGATCTACAGGCCTAGTGGCCTTTTATAATTCCCGATCACCATAAGGTAAGGTAAGGTAAGGTATGCAGTAGGTAATTTGTATTCTATTTGGCAAGTAAAAAGGCGAAGAAGTACTCTTCTGTATCGTTATATTTGATTTATCCAGCAAATCTAGAAAATGCGTGTCCAGCATTTCGTGCCCAGTACCGTACACAGCTGCTGTGAGAACGATTGACCCCAGAAGCTGCAGAGCGGACGCACTCGACCGGATACGCAAGCCCGACTCGGTGATAGAGACACGCCCGTCTTCAGGACAGAGCTACGCCTGTTTTCAGGGCACCAGGGAATGACACATTTGAGAAGTGCCAAGGCCGTACCCGTTCGATCGGCCGGGTGCCGGCTGGACTCGGCCGAGCGCCCGCGGGCTATCGAATTTGAGGACGTCTGGCCCAAGGGAGCATCGGGAGATGACTGGAGCTAACTGACGTGCCCCTCGGCGCATCGCAGCACTTGGGTACGCTAAGGAGTCTCCGCCATTGATGCAACTGAGGACGGTAGTTTACACCTCCAATTTCAGCGAACTGTCCTGCCATCAAGGTCGTCACGAAGGGGAGGCGACCCATTTTCACCGTAACCAACCGTCACCAAGTCGTCGTCGGCCTTAAAGCAACTCCTCCCCGTGACCACGCTCGACCTCGCCGGGCACGCAGGCCTGTATCCCGCGGCATGGTTTAACGTTTGCCAGTATCAACACCGCTGCAATCCAACCGTTGGAATCTGGTAAAGCGCTTGGACGCCTGTCAGAGATCAAGTATGTTTGACCCGAGTACTGCAGCGATCCAACCGTCGGGACTGGGCACCTTGCTCGGATGCACGTCTGTGGACTGCGCTGTGCTGTGTTGTGCTGCTGCTGCTGAACTGTGCTGTCACATCTGTGCTGCTGTGTACCAAATGATATCAGGTCAATTTCGATGAGCCTTTCACCAAACGAAATATTGTTTGATTGCCATCAGCCAACCCGTTAAAAAGTGTGTTTTATATTATTAAAACGCTCCCGTTGTACCGTCTGTCCGACTTCGGCGACGTGCTCAGTGGTCTCAGTCACTCAATCGGTAACATCTGGGATCCATCATCAAGAGGTTGTGTGTTTAAAGCCGGAGCGTTCTAAAATTGTTCTATCAGTTCACTATGAGGTGTGCTAAGTTTTATGCTACCAGCATATGCATGCTGTCAGTGTTACAAGGTGTATAGCTTCTTCGAGATTTTGGCAAAAATGCTGAGAAAAGCGCTCGTTAAAATTTCTCAAATACTCACTATCGTAGCGCCTGCGCCACGCTACCTTCAGTTACCGGCTGCCAAATATTAGCCTAAACTAGCAATTTAGTATACCATGCACATCTAGTGTGTCTTTCAAAATATGCCGTAGGTTTTTGTACTAAACTTCGTTCTACCCAGTATCTATTACACCCTTCCCTGCATTACACCCTGCAAGCTATTACTCTGCAAGAGAAAGGCGTCTAACAATAAGGTTGGGGGAGCATGAATATGTTTCCACTTTTCGAAGTTTTTATTTGAGTTGTGGTGATTTCAAGTGCTCTAAAGGTCTCCATTGCACAGGTAGTTATTGCTTCAATTGTTCTGATGGGTTGTGCATGGAAAGCTGTACGAAGTGAAACTCATGATCCAGCGTGACCATGCCCGAGGCTACCTAACCATGCCCCAATCTGCAACCAAGCATGGGGTGGACAGAATTCTGTCTCAGATAGGATACTCAAAAGTCTGTTAGGGTCAGATTTTGTTTGTCTTAGTTACCTCCTTAAACATTTTTCTGTGTGATCTGGTTTGCTTCTTTTGTTTTACCAAGAATGTGTATTATAGGACACATTCTCATTACTTATTGGTTCAATTAAATCATTTCAGCCCAATATGTTGATTAACCACTGCAAACTGAAAGGTTTGCCCCATCTCTTTCCTAGTGTCATCTTACCAAAACCTGCCAAGGTTCCTGGTCCCAACCATTGCAGACACCTAGACAGTTAAGTCATGTCACATCAAGTGGAGGAGCAGTGGCATTTGAGAAATATCAATATACAAACACTGTAAATCCGGGCCTTATTTGCAATGTGCTCTACCCTTATTATATACCCACCATCCAGCATTGTTTCCTGTGTAAGACAGTGGAGCGGTAATGGGTTGACGGTGGTAAAGCAGTAACATCTTTGTGTGGCCTTCCTGGTAAAGAAATATGGTAGGAGCAGGATATATCAATAAGATATGGTAAATGTTCACACAATCTGCATGTGTAAACCTGCCCTCATCCCACCTAGGCACCCAATGCCACATGATTATGCATAAAGCGAAAACCTAACAGCATAGGACCTAACTTAACTTAGTTCATTCAAGCCTAAGCCAATACATGTCTGACCTACAACCCTTCCCCTTTCTAATCATTTTATCCTGAAACATACTGTAATTACACCAGGTATTGAGGAACATGACCTGATCTTTAACTGGTCATTATGAAAGTTGGGAAAGAATGTAGTTTCAGTAACTCTCATAGTAACCTCATGTGTTGTCCATTTATTTCTTGACAATATACTTTCATATCTTCACTTCTGCTTCTTGCTCATAATTTGTATCTCCATTATTTAAAGACCTAGCATCATGCTCATCCCTGTATGTTTTACATTTTAAGATATTTTTAGATTTAATTTTTGCCTATCTTTTATTTTATATTTCACATGTATATCCTTACCTCTGACATTCATCCACTTTTACCATTTGTGCATTCTGCTGCAGGGTACCTACCAGGGCCAGGGACATTTCTTGTATGTTAGTTGACTGTGGAGTGTGTAATGCATTTACCACCTGATATTTGAATGTGTGTTGTGCAGTGGCATCACCAGAGTTGTCAGCTGAGAGATTAAGAAAAGGTGTTGTTTAGATTAAGTCATAAAAAGTGCATAAATGCCCAACTGCCCACACATGACTTATTCATTGTTTTAACTTTCCATCTTTCCTGGTAGTGGTGTTAAGTTGGTAACAGTGCTCAGCTGTTGACCTACCAATCTTGGGTTCTGGCCCCTGCCACATCACCACTGTATCCCTATAAAGGTCCAGTCATGAGATGGCCCTGAAAGTCAGTTACATGTCAAGCTGGAATAGTCATTCTCATGCCATGTCATCATGGCATTTCTGTCTTTCCACTGTTAAATATTGAAATATATTATTAATATTATAGCTCTGGGTCATGCGTAAATGTGTAGATTGTGCATAGATATATAACATGTATGAATGTATTTAGGCTCTATTTCTGCATGTTTATCATATGCCCTTGAATGTATAGGCCCTATGGTGCTATCATTCAGGTATTTTATTGATGCAATCAGCTGATACATTTATCAGGAAACATTCATGCAAAAGTATGAGTTACCTGTAGCAGTTATCTTTGCAGCATTAACTTACCCAAAGCACTATTTGCAAGACCATAACATTTTATTGCTCTGGGTTTTTATTCAATGCACCACACTATGATAGCAAACTTCATCAACTAATGATAATCTGATTGCCATTACATCCTGCAAATAGCAGAATCATTTGCATTATGTGAAAATGCTCCTAGATGGCTTGTGTTGAAATGGGGTTGTTTGACATACATGAAGTGTCAGGATGGTTTGTTTTGAAACATGTGCTTTACATCAATGAAAAGAGTTATTCACATGCTGTAAAGCCCATCCTTTTTGGCTTAGTTCAGTGCAGTTCAGGATAGTAAGAGCAATATCTACATCAGTGCTAAGCCCATGTTGTCATGACTCCTGACATCTCCCATGTTGCATACTGTTCTGACTGATGCCTGCTCACTGGCCCAGTTGCAGACTTCTGTTAGCATTGGAGACTCCAGTGAACACGCCGGCAGCCAGCCAGCCTGAGTTGAGTCGGCAGCAGCGTGACAACACCTGCGTCAAAATGGCCGACAACAGTCCGCTTCTGGTGAAACAGCTGACAGCCGAGGACTTCAACCCGGCGCGCTTCGTGCAGGACGTGACGCAGCAATGCGTGGGCGGCCTGGAGCTGCGCCAGCATCGCCAACTGATTCAGCAGATCGCTGAGAGCACGAGCAGCGAGCTCAAGAAGAATGTTTACCGTAACTACCAACAGTTCATCCACACGGCCAAGGAGATCCAGTACCTGGAGGGCGAGATGTACCAGCTGTCGCACCAGCTGACGGAACAGCGCTCGCTGCTGTCCTCGCTGTGCGACGCGCCGCCGGCGACCGCCGCGCTGCAGGCACCGCCGCCGGCCGGCCAGCCGGAGCCGGCGCCGGCGGCGCGCGAGCCCGCGCCGGACGATCTGGAGGAGCGCCGCCGCCAGCTGCTGCAGCTGATGGACCGTGTGGAGGGCGCGGCGCACATCCGCGAAGTGCCCAGCCGCTACCAGGTGTACGAGAGCGACCTGGTCGAGCTCGACCAGGACTCGCACTCGGCCATCCAGCGTGTGCACGGCTACCTCTTCAACGATGCGCTGATGATGGCCGCCTGGCTGCCGGATCGGCGCGGCCGCGTGCGCTACAAGTTCGAGGCCATGTTCGCGCTGGACAGCGTGGCCGTGGTCAACATGCGCGACGTGGGCAGCCTCAAGTACGCGTTCAAGCTGCTCATGTTCCCGGACACGCGCGTGTTCCAGTGCGCCTCGCAGCAGATCAAGGACGAGTGGCTGGACATCGTCGACCGCACCAAACGCAACAAGATGGAGGCCGAGCGGCGCCAGCAGTCGGCGCGCCAGAAACGCAGCGGCGCGCCCGCCGCCCCCGCTGCCGCCGCGGCGCCAGACCCAGCCGAGCCGGACCCGTCGCTGGAGAAGCCGAGTGACGCGGCGTCGCCCGACGAGCCGGTCCTCATCCCCGAGTGGCTGCTGGAGGCGCCCGAGGACTTGGACGTGTTCTTGGCGCAGCGTGAGTTCGAGGCGGCTCTGGCGCTGCTGGGGCGCGCGCGCGAGCAGTTGGCGCCGCTGACGGGCGCCGACGCGCGGCTGGCGCCGTTGCGCGCGCAGCTGACGGGCCGGCGCCAGCAGCTGACGCAGGCGGTGATGGCTGAGCTGCGCGTGGAGGCGGGCCGTAGCCTGCAGGGCGGACCGCGCGCCACGCGGCGCGCCCTGCTGCTGCTCATCCGGTTGGGCCACGCTGGCCAGGCGTGCCGCCTCTTCCTGGAGCGGCGCTCCGCCTTGCTGCGCCACGAGCTGAAGCAGGTCAAGATCTCGATGATGACGCAGCTGTTCGTGCACCGGCTGGCGGCCGTCGTGTTCGGCAGCCTGGCCGAGACGACGCGCGAGTTCCTGCGCGCCTTCGCGGCGCACCCGAACTGCTCGTCGGCGCTGGTCGTGTGGGCACGCCAGGAGCTGGGCAACTTCATGAGCACGTTCAACAAGCAGGTGTTCACGGCCAAGGTGGCGCTGGCCACGCTGGCCGAGTGCGTGTCGTCGATCCGCTCGCAGGCGGAGCGGCTGCGCGAGGCCGGCCTGGACGTGCGCCAGGAGCTGGATGCGGCGCTGCTGCGGCCCGTCGAACGCGCCGTGGCCGACGCGCGCCACAAGCAGCTCGAGGCAGTGCGCCTGCGCGCCGCCGAGGACCGCTGGCGGCCAAGCAGCCTGCACAACGCGGCCGGCGTGCAGCGTTTCGCCGCCGAGATGAAGGGGCTGGGCCTGCTCGGCGCCGAGGCGCTGGTGGACGAGTCGTGCCGCGTGCCGCTGACGGCCAACACACTCCAGTTCTGTCGCTCGTTCCTGGCGCTGGTCGGCGAGCTGGCGCGCCTCAGCGAGGGCGACCTGACGCCGGCCGTGGAGGAGGCGCTGGCGGCCGTGCTGCTGGCACAGCTTCAGCACGGCCAGCAGGCGCTGCGCCACGACAAGTATCGCCACGAGCGCGCCACCATCACGGCCAACGGCCGGTTCTTGCTGGATGAGCTGCTGCGCGCCGCCGAGCTCTGCTACCAGCAGGTGACCGGCCGCGCCTGCCCGCCCATGGCGTCGCTCCGCACGGAGCGCAGCAAGTTTCCAGACAACTGAGCCCGGCGACGTATCCCAGGCGACCCAGCCCAACCGCCTCCAAGACGGTGGGGACATGTTGAGGGTGCCGGTAAGGCACTGAACGCTTCGGGCCGCTGCGAACTGAGCCCAGGAGATCCAGGACTTGACGCCCCGTGTAGCTGCAGCTTTTGTTGATGACGCGCCGCGTGTTGGCTCGCATAGCCGTCTTTCCACCGCGCGGGACGAGAACCGGGGCCTTGCTGAGGCCCCGGAGGTGAGGCCGTGGGCTGCACGAGGGCTGACGCGAGCGCCATCTGCGCGGCTGGCCAGCTGGACCGCGCGCCGCACCGCCGGGTACATCGGCGCCGCTTATCCGTGTATGCCTCCGAGACGTGGCGTAATGAGGCTGACACGCTGCGGCGAAGAGCTGGCGGTAGAAATACGCTGACGCTTCGTACCCATGACTTGCTTTCTTGTGTTCTGTGTTACAGTATTCCGTTATCGTGATACCATACTCCTAAAAAACAACGTAACTTGCGTAATCGATCGTGTGCTTAATCGCAGCATTGCCAATAAGGAATATTTGGGCCCCTGCAACGTTTTGGAGTTTCCTTTCTTTTAAGCGGTCGTGGTTCATTCAGTACCGTTCTCTGTTGTGGTGGGTGGCGCGTGTTTACCACCCCACCGTGCAAACTAGAGCTCCGAAGGCCGCCAAACAGCGTCTGTCGTGTGAGCGTGTCGTCGGATTATCCACAACACCGCTGCCGACCGTCCACGACTGGGCGGTCTCGGTCTCGGCCCGTGTGTCGGGACAGCGGGTCGGTGGCGGCGCATTGGGCCGCACGGCGCCGCGGCGGCGGCCGTGTGTCTCCTGGCAGCAGCGGCCGTGTGTCTCCCGGCGGCAGCGGCTGTGTGTCTTCCGGCGGCAGCGGCCGTGTGTCTCCTGTTGGCAGCGGCCGTGTGTTTCCCGGCGGCAGCAAACAGCTCCTGCGCCGTTGTTGACCTGATTAGCGCCGGTTGCGGCGTTCGTGCGTGACAGGGACGGCGCCTGGGCGGCGGCGGACGCCGCTAGTCCCTGCGGGATTCGGACCACGCTCAGCGTGTTTATGCCACCTTTTGTTGTTGCTGTTACGTTCGGAAGATGTGTTGGTTTTGAACGCTTTTGGGAATTGAGATTGATTTAGTGCTGATTGGGAATTAAGTTCCACCAGGCGGCGTGGTGACGTCGGAGTTAAGCCGATAGTTCAGCACATAGACTTTTTCATGTCATTAGCTTATGGTGCTAGATTATCATTATAGGTTCTTTATAGTATTTTGGAGCGTAAAGCGCATGTTACGAAAACGCGTGTCAGCAATACATATGTCGTATGTTTCTGTGTGTGCAATGTTTCCTGCCCGTTCAAAAAATTACGAGACCAGCAAAAACGGCCAGGGCGACCACCGCAGCCGCTGCAGCTGCTTTGAATTATCTCCCGCTGTAACAGAAGAAGCTTTGCGATCTCCCACCCAAGAGACGACTGCTCTAAATGTCATGACGCCGTATTGGGCTCTCAAATCACGGGCTTATCACCATGGTGACGGGTTCAGCAAAGCATTTCGAAAAAAATTGCTCAAGTCTTTACCGATGATATTCCTTGATATCATCCCTGGCTCTTGGCTGAATCGGCCAGTGGTTGCTTCGCTCCTCATTTTCCTAAGATAGCTGCGGCTTTCCCGTCACCTGCAGGGTCAACGGGTGTCAGGACGTGCCTTGAGGTGAGGGCTATCTGGAGATGTGCCTTGTTGCTTGCTTCCTTGAAATCGCGGCAAGGGCTGTCACATTTTACGTCGCAGGACGGGTTTGCTCATACCTGCCCAAACGTCAGGGGCAGCTCAACTTTTCCGCGTTCTACCGTCGGATGGAGAGTGGACTATAGATTGTCCGCGACAGCTGTTCCACTCTCAGACTACCATTTAGGAAAACACCGAACTGGCCCTGGCCAGTGGTGTGAGCTGCCGGCTGGGCCGACCTGGTACCCCCGGTCGGAGGAGCGGAAATACGTCGCAAAGTGGCGGTGGCGTAGGGCGGTATAGAGGCGTTCATGCCGGACTCGGGGTGTAGTTGGTGCAGCTGCCGCCGCCTTCTTCGAAAAAAAAAATAAACAGGCAGCCTCGTGTCGGGTCTGCGACCTGTGTGCCGGTTAAGCCGCCTGACCGGACCAAGAGCCTGAGCGAAGCCGTAGCCAGGGTCTGACCGGAGCCGGAGTCTGACCAAAGACGGGGCCCGACCGGGGCCGGAGCCGGGGCTAGACCGAGCCGGAACCTGACAGGATTCGGAGCCTGATAGGAGCCGCAGCCTGACCGGAGCCGGAGCCTGACTGATCCGGAGCCTGACTGGAGCCGGAGCTTGACCGTAGCCGGAGCCTGACAGAAGCCGGAGCCTGACAGGAGCCGGAGCCTGACCGAGCCGGAGCCTGACAGAATCCGGAGCCTGACCGGAGCCGGAGCCTGGCCGGAGGCGGGGCCCGACCGGAGCCGGAGCCGGAGCCAGACCGAGCCGGAGCCTGACAGGATCCGGAGCTTGACTGGAGCCGAAGCCTGACAGGAGCCGGAGCCTGGCCGAAGCCAGAACCTGACATGAGCCGGAGCCTGGCCGGTCCCGGAGCCTGACCGGAGCCGGAGCCTGACCGGAGCCGGAGCCTGGCCGGTCCCGGAGCCTGGCCGGTCCCGGAGCCTGACCGGAGCCGGAGCCTGACCGGAGCCGGAGCCTGGCCGGTCCCGGAGCCTGACCGGAGCCGGAGCCTGACCGGAGCCGGAGCCTGGCCGGTCCCGGAGCCTGACCGGAGCCGGAGCCTGACCGGAGCCGGAGCCTGACCGGAGCCGGAGCCTGGCCGGTCCCGGAGCCTGGCCGTCCCGGAGCCTGACCGAGCCGGAGCCTGACCGGAGCCGGAGCCTGGCCGGTCCCGGAGCCTGACCGGAGCCGGAGCCTGACATGAGCCGGAGCCTGGCCGGTCCCGGAGCCTGACCGGAGCCGGAGCCTGACCGCACAGGGGACGGCAGCCGCCCTCTGGATCGCACCGGTCGGGCGACCCTGTGCGCCCCTGCACTCGGTGCTGGCGCTGTTCGGCCGGCCGGCGCTACACCGAGACGGGGACATGTCAGCATTCGGTATCTGTTCAGTCTTAATTTGTTCTGTTGGGCAGGTCTCGTAGCAGGAGCGCAGCAGCTCACACGGAACGATATATTTATGCCCACTCGCGGCGAGACCTGACCAACAACTCCCCGCTAACCCTTGGGTCACGGCCCGAGTCAACTGGTACAGAGGGCAGCACTAGCAAAAACCGAGCACCACCCGCTGTTAAAAAACGTCATCGAGAAACGTAGCAATATTTGCCTTTGACGTCAGAAGTCCAAAGCGTGTGTAGGTCGTTCTAGAGAAGTTAACGATATGCAAAGAACTGGAACAATGCAAGTCCTGATCACAACATGCTAAGCAGAATCATTCACATTTCCAAATCCAACCACTGCTTTATCAGGTCCACGGCGAATTCGACTCGAGCATCACAAAATTAAACGCCGGGCGGCTCAGCCCCCAATGGCAACGATGCCGCCATGCCACGAGTTGGGGCCCGCACAGCCTCCCATAGACTTCGACGCAGCCTCCCCCGCCGACACGGGCGCAGGCTGAACCCTGGACGGATCTGATGAAACCAGCGGTGACTGTCGATCAGACTCTTCAGCATTCGCGAACTGTGGCACCATCTCCGGCGCCTCCCGCAACGACGACGCATCCCCAGACGCAGACCATCGCACCCTCTCCCCCACCGGCCTCGTCGGCAGCGCATCGACGGATGCAGGCGCCCACGCCGCGGACGAAGGATCAGGGGCTACTCCGGCACCCTTTGGTTCCGCCGGGTGTGCAGTCTCTACCCGCGTGCAGTAGCTGTTCGGAATGCCGGCTCCGGCAGGCGTCCCAGACGTCTACCTCACGCGAGACTGGTCCAGTCCGTGCCACGATGCGTCGCCTCCGCCACTTTGGTCTGGAGAAGCTGCGAGCCCAGACGTGCGCGCTAGGGCCGAGGCTGCGGTGACTGCCGCCAGCAGTCTTCGCCGACCGCTCCTGGTACTCGGAGACAGTCGACTGGCCGAGACGGGGGAGGTCGAGCCGGGTTCTGAGGTTTCGACCATGCAACAGCTCCGCAGGAGATCGCCCAGTTGCTGCCTGCAGAGCAATGCGGTATGCCATTGGAGATCTGACCAGCCCTGTTGGCCAGCCCTTTTGCCAGATTTTGCCCGTCCTGTAAGCTTGCCTTCAGACTGTTTTTGACAGCTTGGACTGCCTTCTCCGCTGCCCCGTGACTTGACGGATGGCAGGGAGCAGTACGGATGTGACGAATCCTGTTCTGTCTCAAGGATTCCCCAAATTCGGCCGAAGAGAACTGAGGGTCTTTATGGGACACGATCTGTTTTTGAATCCCCAATTTGGCAAACACCGTTCCCAGCTCTTGCACTGTACGCCCGGCTGAGGAAGTGCCACGAAGCCACGAAGAACATACTTCCTTGGAACGGTCCGGCAAAATCAATGTGCACTTGTTTCCAAGGGCCCTGCGAGGGCCCCCAAGGGTAAAAACTTGCCTTAGGAGGCGCCGCCTGCTTTTCCACGCAAGCACAGCAGCCCCTGGCCAGAGCCTCCAGCTCAGAATCGAGACCGGGTGACCAGACACACTTTCTGACCAGATGTTTTATTTTCCAGATCCTGGATGACCAGCATGCAATTCCTGCAACACTCTCACTCAATTTACGAGGTACCCTAATTCGTCCACCCCAGAGCAGACAGTTTCCATCAGTTGGCAGCTGCCTCCGACACTGTCTAAACGTTCTGAACTCTGGCTCTACCACGGATGGCCAGCCAAAACGGACGTACAACACTCTCTCCAGGATTGCGCCTCGTCGAGAGGCCGTATCCACTTCTCGTGCAGACAAAGTCGGACCTTTATCCTCCTAGTGGCGCACACAGAACACCTCTGCTTCTTCCACGACGTCTTCTCCAGACACGTTCTGCGGCAGCCTGGAAAGAACGTCAGCTATTGCCATGTTCTCACACTCGCGTAACTCCACCTCGTAGGAATGTGCAGCCAGATGCTCATCACAGCTCTGCATATGCGCCGCTGACAGGGCATGGAGTTCAGATGTGAGTCAGCGCTCTTCGTTTGTAACAAAATGGAAACACCTACCGAAGAGGAACTGACTGAGTCCCCTAACACTAACCAACACTCCGACCGCCTCCTTTTCAACAGCCGCGTACTTCTACTCTGTCGTCGTAAGTACCCGAGACGCGAAACAGATGGGCCGCTCCATCCCGTCCTGTAAAACGTGCACCAGAGCTGCCCCGACTCAAGCGCTGATCGCATCAATGATCAGCTTCAGGGGAAGTCTGATCGAGCCGTATCAGTGCTGTCCCACTTGTCAGCATGTCCTTCACCTGGTCCAAAGACGTCTGGCAAGATGACGTCCACCACTACGTGGCACCCTTCTTGAGCAGCGCGTATAGCGGTGCTAGTACTGAAGCAAGGTTTGGGATCAGATGCCAGTAATAGCTCAGTGATTCAAGCAGTGATCTCAGCTGGGTGACGCAAGTTGATTTGGTCATGTCAAACTGCCGCCAAATTGTCTGGCACGGGGCGTAGACCATCAGCGGAAATGATCCAATCAAGGCGCTGTGCCTCCTTCAAGTTTAACTTACACTTTTTCCCTCTCGCGCCGCATATCGATATCCTTCTTATGCTATCTACTCTCTCGAATCTAGCTCTATATTAGTCAGAGAGCTCTCTCGCCTAGAT